AAGAAAAGAAGAAGAAGAAGAAGAAGAAGAAGAAGAAGAAGAAGAAGAAGAAGAAGAAGAAGAAGAAGAAGAAGAAGAAGAAGAAGAAGAAGAGAAGAAGAAGAAGAAGGAAGAAGCAGCAGCAGCAGCAGCAGCAGCTCTCTGCCTCATGGAGTGGGCTCACAAAATCCACACCTGTACTGGGGATAAGTACTGAACTACTACAGGAGGTCCAAGGTTTCCTCACTGAAACCCATGTTCCTGGGGTCTGGTTCAGGCCCATGCTGGTATCCCAGCTGTCAGTCCGGGGAGCAAGAGTTCCCTATGTTCAGGTCAGTTTTTCTGTGGGTTTCACCAGCCTGGTCTGGACCCCTTTGCTCTTCACTTGTCCTTCTCTGCATCTGGATTCCAGTTCAGTTCAGTGATTAGTTATGGGTGTCAGCTCCTACTTCCACCAGCTGCTGGATGAGGGCTATTCGGTGGCATATAAGACAGTCATCAATCTCATTATCAGGGGAGGGCATTTAAGGTAGCCTCTCCTCTGTTGCTTAGATTGTTAGCTGATGTCATCTGTATAGATCTCCAGCACTTTCCCTAGTGCCTGCTTTCTCTCTAAAACAAAAATGTCTCCATCTACTATGGTATCTCCATTCTTGTTATCATCTATTCATCCCCTGACTCAACCTTTCTGTTCCCTCATGTCCTCTGCATCCCTCTTCTTGTCCCCTTCTCATTCTCCTAGCTCCCTCCCCCCTCTTCCCATGTTCCCAGTTTGCTCAGGAGATCTTGACCCTTTCCCCTTCCCCAGGGAACCGTGTATGTCTCTCTTAGGGTCCTCCTTGTTTACTAGCTTCTCTGGCAGTGTGGATTGTAGGCTGGTAATCATTTATGTCTAAAGTCCACATATGTGTGAGTACATACCACGTTTGTCTTTTTGTGATTGGGTTACCTCACTCAGAATGGTTTCTTCTAATTTCATCCATTTTGCTGCAAATTTCAAGATTCCATTGTTTTTTTTTCTGCTGAGTAGTACTCCACTGTGTAAATGTACCACATTTTCTCTATCCATTCTTCAGTTGAGGGGCATCTAGGCTGCTTCCAGTTTGTGGCTATTACAAATAATGCTGCTATGAACATGGTTGAACAGATGTCCTTGTTGTATGAATGTGCATCTTTTGGGTGTATGTTCCTTGGCTTTCTTTAAGGGATTTATTCATTGTGTCCAATGTGTTTTTAATCTTTCCCTTGCTATCTTTAAGGAATTTATGCACTTCCATTTTAAGGGCCTCTGTCATCTTTATGTGGTTTGTTTTAAGGCCTTTTCCTTGTGCTTCAGATATGCTGAAATATTGAGGGCTTGCTGTGGCAGGATAGCTGGGGTGGGGACACATTGCCCTGGTTATTGGTGATCGTGTTCTTAGCTGACACTTAGGTGTTGGTTTGGGCTGATTCTGGGTCTAGGTGTCAATTTCTCAGTTTGTCTTCATCAGATCAGTGTTTTGTTCCTTGATTTCTATGTGGTTTCTGGTCTTCTGCTCTGTATGGCCTAAGGTTGAACAGAGGTTCACCTCCACACAGATCGAGAGCTGGTAATCTAGCAGCTGCTGTAACCTCTGTTCCAGCAGGGAGTCCCCACCCAAGTTTTGGGGCTGAAGGCTGGGGAGAGACTTAGGTAGTGTGGGAGGGGCCCTATGAGAGAAGGGGAGGTCTGTGAGCAAGTGGTCTACATTGACTTCTGACAGCTAGTGTGTCTTTTGTTTGAACAGGGCATCTCCACCTATGTTGTGGGTTACTGAAAGGATCAAGTGAGGCAATGGGTGGGCAGCCTGCCTGGGTTTCTAATGGCTGCCTTGGCCTCTGGTCCAACTGGGAGTCTTTGTTTGAGTTAGCCCACCTGTGCTTGTGACTGGTGTGGATGGCACTTGAGCAAAGGATGTCCACCTGAGTTGAGAGCAGGGACATGCATACAGGGGTGCTGGCTGGAGGGTTTCTATGGGAATTGAAGGAATGGGGAATTCCATAGGCTGGTGGCATGCCTACTTGTTCTGCTGGCTGGTATAGCCTGCACATGAGTATGGATGTCTGCCCAAGTTGGGGGCAGATACATGGCCTCATTCCTCTCTTTTGCAATGGGAATATATCCTGTGCCATTGTGTGTTGGAAAGGTTTAATTTCTTTCTTGATTTTACAAGATGTCACAGTCAAATGATTGCCTGAGTGTCAGAAGAGACTTTGGATATTTGAACAGTGTAGGGGCTGTTACAGACTAAGTCACTAAAGTCACAATAAATATATTTTCTTCATGGGATGACCATGAGCATTTAGTGACCTGGGTCAGAATGTAGTTGTTTGAATGAAAAGCTCAAAAATAGGATGATGTATTTGAACTCCTATCGCTCCTTGTAGGCTTTTTGTAGGGTTTTCTAGAAACTTTGGCAGGAGGAACCTTTCTGGATTAAATTCCTCCCTGGGGATGGGATTTGCATGTCTTTAACCTCAAACTATTTTCCATTCCTCATGTCCTGCTGTCATGCCTTCAAAACCATTATAGATGGTTTTTGAAGACAAGGTTTTTCTGTATATTCCTGGCTGTCTTGAAAATAGCTCTGTAGACCAGGCTGCCCTCAACTCAGAGATCCAAATGATTCTGGTTCCTACATGCTGAAATTAAAGCTGGGCCAACATGCCTGGGTTTTGTTGTTGTTTTTACATTATTCACTGATGGGCCTCTAATGCAGGTTTATGCACATATCAAGCATATGCTGTTGTGCTGAGCTTCACCCAAATTTTGAATTTTCAAATTTGGCAGAAGGTATCATTCTTTTTTTTTATTTTTTTTTATTAGTTCAAGTTAGGGAACAAGCTTGTTTCACATGTAAGTCCCTTCTCCCTCTCCTCACCCCCGTCTCTCCTCCCCCACCCCCAATTGCACCAGGGAAAAAGACTAATCCACCACCAGAGGCTCCCTGGAGTGCAGAGGCCTCCTTATTGACATCCATGTTCAGGGGTCTGGATCAGTTTTGTACTGGTCTCCCAGACAGCATCTGGGACCAATGTGCTCTCCCTTGTTAAGGCTAACTATTTCTGTGGGTTTCTCCAACCTGTACAGACCCCTTCGCTCTTCATTCCTCCCTCTCTTCAACTAAGTTCCAGATTTCAGCTCAGTGTATATCTGTGGATATCTGTCTCTGCTTCCATCAGCCACTGGATGAGGGCTCTAGGTTGGCATAATATTTTCTCTTTATTCTGTAGATTTGGTGTTTTGATTATTATGTGTTGGGGGGACTTCTTTTTGTGGTCCAGTCTTTTTGGTGTCCTGTAAGCTCCTTGTACTTTCATAGAAATATGGAACACTTCATGAATTTGTGGGTCATGTGCACGGGCCATGCTAATCTTCTCTGTATTGTTCCAGTTTTAGTATATATGTTGCCGAAGCGAGCATGGTATCATTATTTTTCTCAAACTCTGAGTTGTTGGATTACAAGTGTGCTACATTCTTCTTATCTATTATGTTTCTTTTGAATCTTTTAGAATGGATATGAGTCTTATGCCTTTATGCATGGATATATACTACATGTGTATCTGTTCCTCACAGTAGTCATAAGAGAGCCCCAGAACCCCTGAACTTGCAGTAATGGGTAGTGGTGTGCCCTTATGTAAGTACTGGCAGTTGAACACACCTATCTGCAAGACCAGCAAAAGCTCTTAACTGCTGAGCCTTCTCTCCTGTCCTGTGTTGTTTATTTATGATCAAAATTTACATAGCTGATGTTTCTGGCTGTCTAATTTTAATTGTTAAAACCTCACATCCCTTTTAGAAAAGATCTTATTAAGGGGGCTGGAGAGATGGCTCAGAGGTTAAGAGCACTGGCTGCTCTTCCAGAGGTCCTGAGTTCAATTCCCAGCAACCACGGGGTGGCTCACAACCATCTGTAATGAAATCCCATGCCCTCTTCTGGCCTGCAGGCATATATGCAGACAGAATGCTGTGTACATAATAAGTAAATAAATATTTTTAATATTATTAATATTATACTTTAAACTGGGGCACTTCAGGTTTCTGGTCGATCAATGCAGAACTTTGATTTTTGTGAGGAATATTATTATATAACTCTGGCTGTCCTGAAACTCACTGAATTTTCAGGGGGCGGGGGGATATAACTCAATTAAATTCAACTGCCTTTGCATCCTGAGTACTAGCATTAAGAGCATGAGCCAATACTCCCAGCTTGCCCATCTTTTTGTAGTTAGTAATTGTTCATTCAGTTTCTCTGGTGTATAGTCAGTATCATTGATCTGCTTGCTTATCTCTCTCCTTAGGTCTGTTAATTGGCATTTAGCTTTCAAAGCTCTCTCCTATTTCAAGGATGCAGAAATGACAGGTGGACCTCTTATTCAGTTTATTGTTAAAGTGACTTGATGATTACATCAGCAATTCTGTGTCATGGAAAAAGTGTGAGAAGCACCAGAATTATGATACTATATTGTCAAAGAAGTATACATTTTCAATATTGTCAGTATCATCCTTTCTTTTGTATACATGTATGGGGTATTTAAGAATGCAGTGACCTACAATGATGTGCATATCAACTTCACTCAGGAAGAGTGGGCTTTGTTGGATCCTTCCCAGAAGAGTCTCTACAAAGATGTGATGCTGGAGACCTACAGGAACCTCACTGCTATAGGTAAGATTGGAGATTTTCCTTCATGTTTCAAAATAAGGGGACAGCATTTCTTGTTTATTTGTATGCTTGTGTAATTTCACTTGAGAAAGAGGAAGAATGAGGTGAATAATCAGGCAAAGTTCTGAGGTTCTCTGAAGAGAGTAAGTTAAATTTTGAACAGGTTCCAATAATATATCATACATTTTCTGGTACTATATTTTAGGCTACAGTTGTGAAGACCATAACATTGAAGAACATTGCCAAAGTTCTACAAGACATAGAAGGTAATTTTTGTGAATGCTGATATAAATGTGCCTCTGAAGAAATTTTTAATGTGTCCTGGAATTTTTTAATGAACACCAACAATGTAAATAAGCATAGCTTAAAGTGTAATGATGTTTATTAAATTCTAAAAGGACATATACCTCAATTTCAGATAGCTGATCTGTGTCTCCATGGCATTCCTCTAAGAAAGAAAACAAGGAACCACTGCTTTAACTGATATCACCATTGATGCAGACCCCCAGGAGAGCTGCACTCTAGAACTGAAAATCCATTTAGTTTCTTCCCACTCAAATATCATAAAGGATACATACATTGAAAAGGTGATAAATATATCTAAGACTTTCTAACAAGCAAATAGTCTACAGTTAAGTTACTGTTACTCATATACTTGTGGTGACTTTGCTCAGTTAATTAAGATGGGCAGTTTAATTAAGAGTCAAAAAGTTTGTTGTGAAGTAACCTTAATCCCTATCTATACCCCACATCTATGAGAACAGAAAATCAAACTGTGTGAATGCAATGTGGAAACCTTTTACTTGTTATTTTTCCTTTAATAGGTATATCATATGTCACACTGTATATAAGCCATGAGATCACAGGGATACAGAAAGAAGCAAAATAACTCTCTCCTGGAACAATTAGAGGATATGTAATAGTCCCCAATCTTAGCAGAATTGTTGAATGTGAAATGAATTTACATTTAATTGGTTCCCAAACTTCATTGGGAATACATCAATAAACTTACACTGCAGAAAGGTTCTATGAGTATTGGAATGTATAACTACTTCTCTTTGCCCTCGTTCGCCTTCCAAATGCAGTATCACTCATACCATATGACAATTTATGAATGCAATAAATATGGTAAAGCTCTGAGTTCTTTCAGTACTTTTCAAATTGTGAAAAATCTCATAAAGAAAGAAGATATTATGAAACCCATGTAATAGAGCCTCTTACCATTGCAAGTATCTTCAAGGACATAAAATGTCCCCTAATGAAGGGAACACCATTAGTGTAATCCTTAAAATCTGATTACTTTTTACAGTTAGGCCATATGTGTAAAATTAGCTCACACATATATGAAGATTCATCAGTGTGATGCATGTGGTAATGCTTTAACATGTTCTAATTATCTTTGTAGGTATGAAAGAAGGCATTCCAGAGAAAAACCATCTGAATATTCTCAGTGTGTTAAAACCTTTGTATATTATGGCCATCTTCAAAGGTATGAAAGAATTCATACTGGAGAGAAACTCTATGAAGGTATTCAGTGTGGTGAAGCCTCTGGACATCACAGCAGGCCCCAAATACATAAAGGAAGACGGACTGGAAAGAAACCCCATGAATGTAATCAGTGTGGAAAAGCCTTTTCAAGACATGGTCATCTCCTAATACATAAAAGAACACATACAGGAGAGAAACCCTATAAATGTAATCAATGTGGTAAAGCATTTGCTTATAGCTGTTATATCCAAATACACAAAAGAACACATACTGGAGAGAAGCCTTATGAATGTAATCAATGTTATAAAACCTTTGCACACAGCAGTACTTTCCAAATACATAAAAGAACACATAGTAGGGAGAAACCTTACCAGTGTAATCAATGTGGTAAAGCCTTTGTACAACACAGTAGTCTACAAAATCATAAAAGAACACATACTGGAGAGAAACCCTACAAATGTAATCAATGTGATAAAGCCTTTGCACATAATAGTAATCTCCAAAAACATAAAAGAGCACATACTGGAGAGAAACCCTATAAATGTAATCAATGTGATAAAGCTTTTGCATATAGCAATAGTCTCCAAAAACATAAGGGAACACATTAGAGAGAAACAACATGAATGCAGTCAAAATGGGTAAAGCATTTGGATGTCAACATAGTCTCCTAATACATAAAAAAACACATACTGGAGAGAAACCCTATGAATGTAAACTGTGTAGTAAAGACTTTTCATGTCACAGACATCTTCAGATGCATAGACGAACACATACTGGTGAAAAGTCCTATGAATGTAATCTATGTGGTAAAGCTTTTGCATATCACAGTGTTCTCCAAATACATGAAAGAATGCATACTGGAGAGAAACCTTATGAATGTATTCTGTGTGGTAAGGCCTTTGCACGCCATAGTCATCTTCAAATACATAAAAGAGCACATACTGGAGAGAAACCCTACAAATGTAATCAGTGAAATAAAGCCTTTGCATATATCAGTAGTCTTCGAATTCATGAGAAGAAAATCATACTGCAGAGAAACCCTGTAAATGTAGTCAGTGTGGAAAAGTTTTGCACTTCATGGTATATAGCGGGAAATTACCAATACGGAGCCAAGTAGAAATATAAGGGTATTTAATAGGGAAAAGCCTTACTTACAGAGTAACCTAACCAGCTGGCGTGGCAGCGGTTTGTACACAAGCCGAAAGGGGTGAAAACTGAAAGCAAAACTCAGCCAACTCAAACTCTTACTCTACGTCACCCTGACCATGCCCTCGCAGGCGTGGTCAGGCAGACCTGTAGGCAGACCCTAAGCAGGCGTGGCTACAGATTCCCTTGCAATGGTACTCTTTATACAAGAGTAAAACTTTTAGTGTGTAATTGGTCTAATAAGGCTCTTGCATATCACAAATCTTTGAGGACCTGAAAATAAAGTAATACAAAATGGAATCTGATCACAAAGAATTTGGCAAGATATTTAGCCAACACACTTAGATTTAATTACACAAGATTATTTTTTTTTTCTGGAGAAAAACATCTGGCAATTATCGCCAATCTGTTCAAGCATATCACTCTTCATTTTGTTTGCAATGTGCAAACTCATATGGACAAAAGCCCTATGAATTTAAATGAAATTCAGATTTCATACTTCTTCAATTTTACGAAATAACTCATCCAGGTATTAAACTTTAGGGATGTGTCTTAGTGCCTGTTCTGTTGCTGTGGTAAAGAAAAAAAAAAAAAAAACATTATGTCTAAGTCAACTTATGAAAGAGTTTTTAATTTGGCCCTTAGTTCCAGGGGGATTCAGGATCACCATGAAAGTGGCGTAGCAACAAGGGTTAGACATAGCAGCTAGACAAAGAAGCTAAGAGTTCACTTCCTTGGCCTTGAGTTTGAAGCAGAAAGTGGGAATAGAGAATGGTGTGAGGATTTAAACTCTCAGCTCCTCCTTCCAGGGGCATATTTCTTCCAGCAGGGCAGCATTTCCTACATCAAATGATATGACCTACTTACTGAGTAAGGTTGATTTCTCTGGCTTCAAGCCTACTAACTTGCTTTATGTTACATGAACCAATTCATGATGAAAAAAATTTCTTTAAGCCTTTAAATGCCTCAACACCTGTGTAACAGGAATGAATGCTCACATGAGACATACATTCATGAGTGAAAATTTGTTTAAAAACTTGTTCTAATTTTAATTTTGTGATATCAAGATGTCTTTGTGGGTATCTGCATGTTTATGCTGGTTCCCAAGAAAGTTAGACCTTGTAATATTCTTGTAGCAGAAATTTTAGGAAGTTGTCAAAACCTGACCTTGGTCCTGAGAATGGACTTGTCTTAGACATATCTCTTACCCTGTATATATTTTAAAGCCATTATATATCATCTTGGTGTTAGGAAACAGGGAAGAACACATTCAAGAGAAAACTGTGTTGTTTGCAGCAGCTCTGGACAATGATACACAAGCCACAAAACTCAACAAAACCCATATAGAGTTTATTGGGAAAGGGAGTGAAGGGAAGGTTTGGTGTCAGCCCACCAGGAGAGAAAGAACAGGCAGGAGGTGCTTGCTTAAAAGGGAAAGCTTGCACATATGTAAAGAGTACATAGCCACACAACACATGGCCCTTTGAGCTGTCTAAATCTGCCTGAATGCCAGTTGTTGGGGGTGGGGAGGCCAGCATAATGTCAGGATATCAACAAACCCTATTCATGTAAACAATTTGGCAAAGACTTTAAACATCAGTTGTCTACACTTTTGAAAAAAGTCTTTTTCATCTTTTTTATCATAGCCTGAAAGAAGTAAATTTTTTACCATGTTCAATCAAGTAAATTGTGTTTTGAAAATTTTGGAATAGGTATTGATCTTTGCTGCATGTGTGGCTAATCCATTTACTTAATTTTATTAGGCTGTTCTTATATTACTTTTGTGGCTTCTGTTCATCTATTCCACTTTGACTTGGTTGACAGGTATTTTTCTGCTTTAGTGTATAGAATGGGATGCCCACCTTCTAAGTGGTCCATTGTTTATTTAAATATCAGTGTGTTATCATACTTTTCAAGTAAGGGTATCTGTGAAAGGATAGTGGGTTATTGGTCCAGTTTTGTTCTTCATATTTTCGAAAAGTCCTTTGGGATGTTGTTGTTTATTATCCAGCCTCGCTTGGATGCCAGTAATTAACCAGGGATACATTTCAGCTCTTGATTCTCATGTGTCTTCCTCTTGAGTACAAGTCCAAAGATAGAAGATATGCCCACAACATGTGCTGTTTTGTTTAAACATTTTAACAATGTTGATGTTAAATTGCTTAATAGAAGAGGATACAAGAGTCAGTAAATACCTCATGTGTGTAAACAAAACAGCATTTTCATCTCTCTGGTAGAGATGTAATAAAAGTGGATAAACAACCTACTGTATGTCTCACAGCATAGCTTGATGTGGCATGAATATGCATACATTATTTGATTCTCCTTTATGTCCCCATTAGTTATCTATTTGGCAGTTCATCTTCAAGTACTGCCTTCTAGGGGCATTATCTAGAGATGCCAGACAATGTAAGATCAATGATATTTATTTAAAATTCTCGTGTGTGTGTGTGTGTGTGTGTGTGTGTGTGTGTGTGTGTGTGTGTGTGTGTGTGTTATATGATGTGATTATAGGTTTTTAGGTCATGACAGATATGTCCAGACCAGAAGACAACTTTGTTTGACATCTTTATATGGATATCAAGGTCATGTTCCAGCCTTGCACACAACAGGCATTTCCCACTTAGCTGTCTCAATGATGCTCAAATAAGATTAGTTGAAACGTTACAACACTAAGATGTCTTCTTTTCAGCATGTGAACCTATTGTTATCTAGAGATGGAGAAAAACAGGACAATGAAAATGATATACTGCTATCTCTTTTTCCTTTTTTAAAATTTGGAATGTGTTAGCTTACTCTAGGTACTGAACACTTGTTAAACACTTCCTCAGAACCACACATGAATGCCAAAGAAGTTTCTCAGTGGATAAAATTGGTTGCTGCTAAGCATGATGACCTGAATTCAATCTCTGGGAGACTCATTACTCCTACAAATTTTCTATTATTTCTTCACTTGTGCTGTGGCATATGCTACATACCAGCGCATACCCAAAATAATACCCAAATGAGGACACTTGCAGCCAAACTGGACTCCCTAGGTTTCAGCTCTAAAACTCATATAGGGGGAGTAGATAATAGACACCTGCAAGGTGTCCTGTCACTGTTACATGCACACCATGACACAGGTGTACATACATAGTTCAAATGTTTTTTAGAGGTTGAAACTAAAAAAACAAAGAAAATTGCCCAATTATTGAGTACATAATGATTTGCCAGTTCAAGTTATAGAATTTCAAGAAGAATTACTGTATATCAAAACAATGATGGATCTTCTTTTATCCCTTACTTCCCTCATTCAAAGATAATTTTAAACATTTTAAATTATTATTTTAAAGCATTTAAAATCATTTTTAAAACATAGCTGGTCTTAGAGATGCATGCCTATAATTCCAGCTCTAGGGAGATGGTGGCAGGGCAGTCTCTCTAATTTTGAGGACAGATTGATCCATACGGTGAATTCCAGGACACCCATGGCTATGTAAAGATATCCTGTCTCATAAAAACAAACAAAATTCCTGAAGAAAAAAGAGCATATCTCAAAATAAGTAACTTTACTATAATCTGACTGGACTCTCACTGGTTTCAAACTATGCTTTCTTTAAGAGAACCATGTTATCAATGAAAATAAGAAATGTGGAGAGTCCATTCACAGAGAGATAGAAATCCATTGAATTCTTGGACAACCATCTAACGGACTTTCATCTCCATCAAGTGATAGGAGAAAGGAGTAATGTAGATAATGTAGGGTGTCTTTTGGAGTTGAAGGCTTTGCTTTGTAGTACTGCTCCTCTTGGGTACCCAAGCTTGGTTCCTAGCACCCACATAAGATGGCTCAGAACTACTTGTATTTCAGTTCCAGAAGATCTAATGCTTCTTCTGGCCTCCTAGGTCACAAGATATGCAAATGAGGAAAAGACATATATATGTCTTTCCTGATTGTAAAAATTGTTTTCCTCCTGTATATTTTAAAAAGAATTAAAATTAATTTAGTTCTGTAACTCTTGCCACTGTATATAACAAATGCATATCTGGTACCAGTGGAGATCAGAAGATGATGTCAGGTTCTCCATGATTGAAATTATGAAGAGTTCTGAACTGTCTTTAGGGTGCTGGGAATCACGCCAATCCCTGGGGAAGAACAACTATTGTTTTTAGCTGCTCAGCCATCTATTCACCTCTATTAACAAGCCATTAATAGCAGTAAGGTGTGAATAGCTTATCCTCAGTTTATCTTCACTTCATCCCTGATGAATCAGAAGCAATATAAGATTGACCACATCAAACTAACTTAGATGTGGTGCTTTAAGAATTTTCTGAGCCCAAAATCCTGGCAAAATGATGGAAAAATACAAAAGAAAAAACAAATCAGGAGAAAAATTGACAATACAAGTATTTTAAAAGTGGCTGACCACCTGACAAAAAACATAAGGTTGAGTTTATCCCAAATGTTGTAACAGGCAGCAATGGGAGCCCATGAAGACACATCAGGTGTACCCTTTTCATGATTTGTTAGGAAAGAAGAAAAATTACAGTCATGAAGAGCTGTCTGTTGGAAAGGGATGGTATTCTGCTTCTCTGGTGCCTGAAAAACTCTCAGGAGCCCTGGGTGATGGTGACTTCAGCTGATGTCTGGGTTGTCTGGAAATCCTACACATTAAACAGAAGTCGCTCTAAGGCTAGGGGAACTGGCATTTACAAAGAGCTGTGGAATATGGAGCGATGTATACAGAGGGAGCTTTGGGTGTGAAGCACAGGGATCAAATGGCCAGAGAACACTGCTCAGGCTGTACCTGAGGAGAAGCTGGCTCCTACTGTGCTTTTTGTCTT